CCCGCGCCCAGCTGCCGGGTCGCAGGCCGCCCCCAGCGCGCGCCAGGCGGACGCGGAGCGGAGGCAGAGCGGCCGCGGCGGCCCCAGGAGCGAGGCGCTAACTGACCTGGAGAGGTGCTTCAGGATCTGCTTCTTGATGATCCCGGCCATGGTGCCGGGGCGCGAGGAGCCGCGCGCTCTCGCCGCTCCTCACAGCCTCTTCTCTTGGGGGCCGTCTCCACTCTGACCCTGAGCGGACTCACCCGGCCGGAGGAGGGGCGCCCGGGCGACCAAACGCGGAACAGACTCGAGAGACTCGAGGCTCCGGCTGAGGCCCCAGCCGCTGCCGCTGCCGCTGCCGCTGCCGCCACCAGTGAGCCCGCCGCGAGCCCGGAGCATGACGTTCACGCTGCCACGGCCGGCGCCAGCGCCATCTTGGCTGCAGCATCACCTAAGAAACCCGAGGGGGGGTGGTAGGAGGGGAGGGGCCAACTTGAACGGGGCGGGGCCAGGGCGGGCCAGGCCGTGGATGGGGCGGGGCCAACGGGAGAGGGGCGGGCGCGTGGAGCCAGCTCAGCTTGGGGGCGGGCAGAGAGGTTTCCGGCCACGCCCCCTCACCCGGGACGCGCGCCAGAGCGCGCTGCCGAGGGTCCCTGGACTCCTGCGCGGACCCCGCCGCGGCTTTGCTGTCCTTCTCCGCGCTCTGGCCTGCTTTCTGCCTCCGTGGCTCGCTTTCCACTTCCACTTTCCCTTCCCTCCTACTTCTCATTGTCATTTCCTCAGAACTTAATTATCTGTCCCCTAAATTGCTCTGCTGTCTTGTTCTATTGAACCTACTCAGCTTTACTCCTATGCCTCCCTGGGTTTTCTCATTTGCTGAGGTCTTCTATCTCTTAGCTAAATGCTAACATTTCATTTCTCCCCCTAATTATTCCAACCCTCAGGGAAGTAAAAGCTGGCAACGTGTGTTAATAGAGTCTAAGACCTAGAAATTAGAAGGCACAAATTCAAGCCCTCGTTCTAATATCTGCCAGCCGTTAACCTCCAAGAAATTTCGTTACTTTTATCCTCGCTTTAATCATTTATAAAATAGGTTAATCATATCCCACTTGCCTGCGTGTAGCATCTAAAAAGGAAGTATATAAATGTGCCTTGAAAATTCTATAAAAAGGAAGGAAATTGTCGAAAGGAGAAAAATTTACAATCCTGCGCCTTCACCCCATCCAACCCCAAACCAACTTGTTTTTCAGAGATGAGGATTACCACAGAGAGATGTCTTTAAAAAAAGATTACACTGGGGGCTGGCGACATGGCTCAGTGGCCTAAAGCACCTACTTGGAAAAAGCTTGGGAAAGCACAGGGACCGTGGTTCGAACCCCCAGCACCACATGCCAGCCAGCCCCGCCCCCTGGTGGGCTGAGCTGGCCACACACACAATAAATAAATAAATGTTTAAAAAAAAAAAAAAAAAGATTACACTGTTCCCTGAGGGATGAACCAGGAAGGTATGTGTTGTCTGTGTGTGGGAGGGGAAGAGATTCTACGTAACCCTACAACTCGAGCCTTTGGCAGATGCCGTTTTGAAGACTGGAAAAGATGGGCCAGGTCTAGTGGTTCACTGTCTGTACTCGCAGCTACTCAGGAGGCTGAGACAGGAGGACTGATTGAGACCAGGAATTTAGGACCGACCTGGACAACACACCAAAACCTTGTTTTTTTTTTTTTTTTTTTTAATCAAGTTAAAATTTATTGTGTGGACAGATTTCCTACACTCCTTGTACATGATTCTTTGGGTGATCCATTATAAAATAATCTTATAAAAAAAGTTAAAACTTATTGATTGAAAAGAAAGGGTTGAGGGGCCAGGGAGATGGCTCAGTGGAATAAGCGCTGCCCTGGCAAGCGTAAGGGCCAGAGTTCAATCACCCGATCCGCCAAAGAAAAGAAACTCTTTTGTTTTTCTCCCCTGAAAACAAAGGGTTGTGCTAATATTGTTTGGACAATTAAATACCAGTATCATGTACTCTGAGTAATGTAAAGATGACAATATGCACTGTACCAATTATTGTTACTCTCCTCTTATCTTTTGAAATTTTGCGGGTTTTTCCTCTTTAAAATAAAATTTTTAAAAAGAGCTGGGAATACAGCTCAGTAGCATAAGCGCTTGCCTAGCAAGCAAAAGATCCTGAGTACAATTCCAAGTACAAAAATAAATAAATAATATAAGAGCGAAGACTGGGATGTAGCTCAGTGGCACAGCTTCTGCCTAGCAAGTGCAAGATCCTGAGTTCAATTCCTGGCACACCCCAAAACAAAACAAAACAAAACCCTCCATGTTAACTATTGGGTTCAATAATGCCGATGCCCCGGTAATATTTCCGATTCAAAAAGTATCCAAAAAAATTAAAATTTAGTAGAAATGTCTATCTTGCAGAATACTCACCGAACAAGTTTCTCACAGTCCCAGGCTTCAATCTGCATATATGTTGGGAATATACACAGATATGTTTTCAGAATATAGAAAACATGGTATTTGCTAGTCTAGAAGTTGTCTGAAGAGAGTTGAACTCTATGTAAACAGATATACATAATTTTCTTAAAATATACATTGAATTGTAAAGTATAAAATCCAATTAAAAACTTCTGTTACAACAATGGGAAAATCTGGGCTGGGGAGATGGCTCAGTAGAATAAGTGCTTGCCTGGCAAGTGCAAGGGCGAGTTCAATCTCTGGTTGGGTGGGGGGGGAACCAATGGGAAAATTGACTCTATGCAGCAAACTTTTAAGTACAAGCTAGTGAGAAGGCGACACTTAACAAAAATTTGATTTTGAGACTATATTACCCCACAATTATTACAAATAAGAAACATTAATGAAAGAGAAATGAATGAGGAAAAGGAGAAAAGGAAGGGAACCTAGTTAAGATAGATGTGTTACTAATTGCTATCATCTCATTGAAAGGATGGGAACTGAGTGACTCATTCACAAACACATTTACAGTGGAAGTATTATTTTTAAGATAAGAAAAAGCAACTTTCAGTTGTTAAAAATAAGAGATCCTGGGCCAGGGAGATGGCTCAGTAGAATAAGCACTTCCCTGACAAGCGCAAGGGCCTGGGTTCAATCCCTGGTTCCACAAAAAAAAAAAAAAAAAAAGTGATCCTGAAATTAAAGGATTGGATTTTAAATGTAGCTCTACAGATTTTTTAGTTATGTGATCCTAGGAAAGAAAAATTTTAAAAAGATATCCAACCTTTCTAAGTCTTGAGGTACTGTATACTTTCATGAAGTTGTTTTGAGATTAAGCTACTAAAGTTAAAATACTTAGAAGAGTGCCAGGCACAATAAAACGTTAACTATAATTATTATGATGTAGAGAAGGATATTTTATTTTTATTGTGTTTCTAGGGATAGAACCTGGGCCCTCTGGCATTCTAGGCAAGCATTCTACCCCTGACTATATCCCATGCCTGAAAAGAATGTTCAAGCCAGGTGGAACACAATGATGTAAAAGAACAGAAGTGTGTTTTAGTTACTTTCCCGTTGCTGAGACAAAATGCTCAACATCGGAAGTTAAAGATGAAAAGGTTTACTGAGCTCACAGTGGGAGGAGGTTTCAGTCCACAATTGGCTGGCTCCAAGGCAGGGTGATACGGCAGAGGGGCAATAACTCATGGTGGGGCTGGAAGAGAGCAAGAGCAAGCCAGGGGGAGGGGGACAAACCTCTCTCTGCACCTTATATGGTATCTGGTCTACCAGGATTAGCGCGGTGCCAATCCAATCAGTGGACTGTTCCAGCAGTCACCCACCCCTAACCCCAGCACCCTTAATCCCAACATTGCACCACCAATCAATCACACACTAGACTCAGCCTTCAAAGCAGCCCTATGACCATATAAGGCTTTGAGGGGACATCAGACACAAACCATAGCAGCTTCTACAGATGACAGGTGGCCTACTGTGGTTAGAACACATGGATTCCTTTGCAAAATAGTAAATAAACATCAAAGAGCTTCCAAAGTTAATAATTATATCTTTTTCTTTTTCATTACCAGGGATCAAACTCGGGACCTTGAAGGCACCAAGCATAAGTGCCAGGCAGGCACTTATGTTGCTGAGGTATATCCCTAGCGCAATAATCATATATTTTTATTGTGAAAATAAATAACAATAATTTCAATCTTCCTCTCCCTGAATTGAAAAAATTCATACCACAAAACCAACATAAATTCAGTAGTGCTTTTAAGTTAATTTATATATTTATTAATTTCTAGTTAATTATCAAAGCATAATTTTTAAAAACCAAAAGCATGACTATCATATACATATACAATGAATAATTACCAAAGGTTAACTCATGTAATCTGTCCCAAATATTCATTATTTATGAGTTGTATTTTCAGTGCTCTCAAAATCATACATTGACAAACTGTGTATGGATTTGAAAAGCAGTATTTACACTTGAGATTATTCATGCTAAAACCTAGAAGGGGAGAGTATGTGGCATGAGGTGAAGAAATTTACATATGCCAATTTTATTTTTTTAATTAATTAATTTATTTATTTATTTTGTAGCAGAACCAGGGATTGAACTCAGGCCCTTGCCCTTGCCAGGGAAGCGCTTATTCCACTCAGCCACCTCCCTGGCCCCCGAGGTAAAGAAATTTAGAGATTTTATTGATCAGTTTATGCTACAGTGAGTTCAACTGACACCTTTCTGTGGGTTTTTTTGGGGGGGTATTCTTTTTTGAAACAGGGTCTTGATATACAGTTCAGGTTAGCCTTGAGCTCACTTTGTAGCCCATGCTGTCCTCAAACTCACAGCGATCTTTCTGCTTCAGCCTCCTGAGTACTACTGCGATTACAGGTATGTGCCACCACCACACCCGGATGAACCGGCTCTTTTTTTTTTTTTTTTTTTGCGTGTCCTGGGGATTGAACTCAGGACCCTGTGCTTGCCAGGCAAGCGAGATCCAACTCTTAGGAACCATTTAAATGCATCTCTTCCCACCTCTGGGTTATGTCTGGTGCCTTCACTATAATTTGAAATCAGCCTGGACACAGTATTCACACATAAAAACTGACAAACATGACAAATCAAGGGTTATTTTCCTCTAGAAATGCAGTTGTTGGGCTGGAGAGATGGCTCAGTGGTCTAAAGCACCTACTTAGAACAAGCTTAGCAAAGCACAGGGACCGCGGTTCAATCCCCCAGCACCACATGCCAGCCAGCCCCGCCCCCTGGTGGGCTGAGCTGGCCACACACACACACACACACACACACACATAAATAAATAAATAAATAAATGAAAAAGCACAAGGGTCTGAGTTCAATCCCCGGTTCAAAAAAAAAAAAAAAAGAAATGCAGTTGTTAAGCATTTACCAGCACACCTCTAATCCCAGCACTCTGGGATACCAAGGCAGAATTATTGCCAGCTCGAACCAGCCTGGACAACTTAGTGATTTAGTGTGATGCTGTGTAAAAATAAAATGCAAAACTGGGCTGGTCGTGCTGTAGGAATGTAGCTCATTATAAAGGCTCTGGGTTCAATCCCAGTACCAAAAAAAGAGAAAAGAGAAAAGAATAGAGATTTTGGTTGAGGAGTCATATACATTCAGTGATAGCTAAAGCCCAGAACAAGAACATTCTTGACCACAGTGCATGCAAGTGTTAAGGAGAGACAAAAGAAGATTAAATACAGTTATTTTTTTATTTTTTACAATGTATATTATTTAGAGTAAGATTTTATCATTTTAATATTAAGCTTGGAAAACTAGAATGACTAAATTTAGATAATTAATTGTAGACATTCAGTGGATGTTTTGATACAAAGAAATACATCAACAGACTAAAGTGCCTGACCTAAAGTTTTCTTTTCTTTTTTTATGTATTTAGTATAGGGTCTTGAGGGTCTCAGTACACAGATTGGACTCATAGTGACCCTTCCGGTTTTTCAGCCTTCCAAGCACTGGGATTGCAGGTGTGCACCACCACGCTCATTCTCATTCGTTGTCTCAGCATGCCCCTGGGGCGGGGCAGGCACAGCAAGCTGGTGATGGAAACCTAGCCCCTGCCTCTGAGCAGACGCTTCAATCCGCTGAGACATCTGGCCAGCCTAAAATTTTCCATGTGGGAAAAGAGGATGAGTAGATGATAAAGGACGATGATGATAGTAACTTCTGCCTCATACTTGACTTTTATTGTTTATTCTCCATAAAACAATTTCAAAAAATAAAGACTTCTCCAAAGTTCACTAAAGGGGCCGGCAAGACTTAGAGGACTAAGCGCCTGCTTAGGCAGGCTCAGGGACCAGGGTTCGATTCCTGGTGCCGCGTTCTGCGCTGGCCCCACCCCCCAGGCGCGCTAAGCCTGCAACGGAGAGCAGGAGTTGTGGCCCAAGCCTGCAATCCCAGCGCTGGAGCGGCTAAAAACAGGAGGATCACCACGAGTCAAAGCTGTGTCATAGGGAGAGCCTGTACCAAATACATAAATTTAAAAAAGAAAAAGTTCAGTAAGGGAGTGTGCCCAATATTATTCCATTTTCTATACAAGACCCAAGGCAGAGTACTCAACTAACTTATCCAAGCTGTGTAATGGCAGAGGCAGGATTTCACTTAACAGTTTAAATTTAGAGGGCTCCACTGTAAACCACGTATGTCATAGAGATGTAAAGATTAATTTAGTTAATATATGTGAACAACTTATACTCTGTAAATGTATTAATCTTTATCATCTTCATGGTTACACAGCCTTTTTTTTTTTTTTTTTTTTTTTTTTGCGGAACCAGGTATTGAACTCAGGCCCTTGCACTTGCCAAACAAGCACGTATTCTACTGAACTATCTCCCTGGCCCCTACAGAGCCATCTTGTGTTTTGGATCCCAATCCCAAATTCTTTCTCTTAACTATTATGAAACTGTTAGTTTCCTTTTCTTTTCTTTTCTTTTTAACTGCTGTAAAAGGAAAACATAGGCGGGCACCTAATTCCAGGAATGGGAATAGAGGGAGAGCTTGTCTGATGTCAACAAGCCCTTCTGAACTAAAGACACCAAAGCTAAGCCCTGAAAAACAAGTAGCAGGAGAAGAGGGAAGTGTAATCATGAGTTTTAAAGGAAAGACGCTGACAAAACAATACATAATTGATGACGCTTGAGCCCCACAATCGGATGGGTAGTGTCAGGAAATGAGGCTAGACATTTCACACCCAATTCCACGCGGGGAATGTTTTTGCATCTTGACGAATCTCGCCATCACCTGGATAAGTTAGCATTAAAAAAGAGGTGTTCAAACCAAACCAAACCAAACCAAACCAAACCAAACCCGGATGTTCAATCATCTGGCTTCTGGCGTCCCCCGTTGCCAGGGTAACCGGAAGCGCGCCCTAAGCTCCGCCCAGTAAACCACAGAGAACCGGAAGAAGCTTGAGCAGAAGGGCCGGAAGGGAAAGCGACTGCGGGTCCGTGTGGCTGGTTCTGAAATGACGACCTTAGTGCTGGATAACGGAGCCTACAACGCTAAAATCGGTTACAGCCACGAAAATGTCTCGTAAGTGTTCGAGTTCCACAAGGGACAAGGACCTAGAAGTTGTGCATGCAGACGCGCTCAGCGGCCCTAACCCGAGCCAGAAGGGTGCTCTGGTTGGAGCCGATTAGTGGCTGCGATGCTCTGAAACCGAATGGACTTCGGTTTGGTTTGGGCTGTGCACTCCGGAAGTGGGCTTTGTTTCATTTTGTAGCAAAAAAATAGCCAAGGAGAGTAGGCTTTTTGATGCATTCGTTAGGAAAGGACAAATAATGGTTCATGAACCTTCAAAAGTGGGCAACATTTGGGATGTATTGTGTTTCTTGGGGATGCGATTATAAATTTCATTGGCTCTTCAAAGTGTCAGATGACCTGCAAAATAAAAAAGCCACAGGGTCTCACTACACAGCTCGGACTCGTAACAATCATACTGTTGCAGCGTCAGCGTCGTAAAATAAAAATTCGACCTGGGATTACAGGTGGCCGGCTCAGCGTGCCCGGGGTTGGGGCCAGTGCACTGTGCGCTATGGGGGATCAAACCCTGGTCCCTGCGCTTGCCTAAGCAGGTGCTTGGTCCGCTGAGCTGTCTCACGTGGCCTTGGGCTTTGAACTTTACAAAGTCTGAGATAGAAGGTATAGAGACTAGCAGTAGCCTAATGGTTGGCCTGATTGATAAAGTCAACTAAACAGAAATAATGTACTAAAATGCATTCGTAAGGTGCATATTCATAAAATTTGTGTTTGAATAGATAACTTTTTTTTCGTGTCTGGGGATCAAACTTAGGTCCTCACATGTGCTAGGTGAGTGCTTTATCACTGAACTTGAACCCAGCTCTTCTTTCTTTCTTTTCTTTTTTCTTTCTTTCTTTTTTTCTTTTTTTTTGGTAGGGGAATCAAACTCAGAATCTTCCATTTACCAGACAGGTGCTGTTCTGCTGAGCTATATCCTGGGCCCTCTTATTTTTTTAAAAAATAACTCAAGGGGCTAGGAAGATAGCCCGGCGGCAGAAGCACCTGCCTGGCAAGCACAAGGTTCCGAGTTCCATCCCCTGCACTGGGTGCTGTGCTGACCCCAAAACCTATCGTGGTGGCACATGCCTGTAGTCCCAGCACTGGTGACGCTGCAACAGTACGATTACTATGAATCTGAGCTGCGTGGCGAGACCCTGTATCTGAAATGAATTAATTTAAAAAAAATGAATAGGAATATAAATTGTTAGTCTCTTTTTTTTTTTTCTTCATCTTTTTAGACAGGGTCTCTCTCTGCAGTTCAGACAGGCCTTGAGAGCTCACTTTGTACTGGCCTCAAACTTGCAACCGTCCTCCTGCCTCATCCTCTCAAACGCTGTGATCACAGGTGTGCATCGGCGTGCACCACCGTGCCCAGGCATTTGTTGATAGCCTTTGACAGCAATTTTGTTAGCACTTAAGGAATCATTTAGAGGTATTTGATAAGAATGAATACAAGGATATTCTTTATTGCTTCTATACTTTGTGTGCCATTAACTATAGAAAATAAGTAATAGGAAATTGGCTGCATGCACCGTAATACAACTGTGAGATTGATAGCAGCGCAGCTTCTTTCAGTTTTGGTGCTGGGCATTGAACACAGGGCTTTGCACTTTATTTATGTGTTTTGTGCAGGGTCTTGCTACGCAGGTTGGACTTGTAGTGTTCTTCCTGTTTTCAACCTCCCCAGTGCTGGAATTACAGGTGGCCGGCTCAGTGTGCCTGAGGTTGGGGCCAGGGCAGTATGTGGTATGCGGTATGGGGGATCAAGCCCTGGTCCCGGCCCTTGCCTAAGCAGGTGCTGGGTCGGCTGAGCTGTCTCACATGCCCTTGGGTTTTGTACTTTAGTAGTGCTTCCTGCATCTGTGCTTGCTTGGTATCTTTCTATCTCTGCCACCCACTCACTCTGTCTCTTAATTTAAGAAACAAAGTTTCACTATGTGGCCTAAGGTGGCCTTAAGCTGCAAGTCTATGGAGCCTTCCTGTGAGGGTTTCTGAGTACCTGCAATTACAGGGATGTGTTGCTGCAGACTGTCTATCCAGTTACTTTCTTTTTCTTTTGTTTTCTTTTTTTTTTTTTTTTTTTTTGGTGGCATGTTTTTAAAAATTATATTCTCAAAGAATATTTAAACATATAGGGGAAACAGTGCTTGTATGTAGTAAGTGCAATAAGCAGACACAAAACATTTGTACAGTGTGCTCCCAGTGTGGTGCGTGTGTACGTCCCTGTGTGTGGTAATAGCACTGATTTGTCTCTTTCCAGAGTGTAAGTTCATGAAGGGCTACAACAGTATCTAAAAGTAGTTCCTACTTCTGTATCCTTTCAGCAGAGTTCCTTGGAAAAGTGAGCGTTAGCCGAGTAAAGTAGGAAAAAACAAGATAAACGTGTGTCCTAGAGGAAGCAGGGGAGGATGTGGTGGGAAGCCAGCATCCTTTTGACTGATTGACAATCTTTTGCTTTATGAAAATTTAATTTTAGGCTGGAGTTGTGAACTTGTGAGTCCATCCCCACTAATCTTTTTT